TCGAGCAAGTTTTATCGGAATTACAGAGTATTTCTTCACTGAAAGAAGAGCAAAACACTGCTCTGGAGGCTTTTCTCAGAGGAAAATATGTTTTTGCTCTTCTCCTGACTGGTTTCAGCAAGAGTTTGATCTATCAATTGGCTCCTCTTCGTCATCGCTCTGTTAGTACGTCATATGCTTCGTTGATCTGATTGGTTTATTTGGCCCGTCTATCACCAACATAGGCCAATCAGCTAACCAGTATTTTCGCCCCTTCCCAAAATTACTTCAACGGAAGGTTTCCAGATGGATATGCGGAGCAAATCCATCTGGCGGAGTCAGGTTAGGAGATTCTGGCCATCAGGAATGCACTGCTCTGCTTAACCTTTCAGAAGCAGAGCTCAAAATTCATTCCTTAAATCTTTTTCTAATTATTAAGTTTTCCTTTTATTCTGTTAAAAAAATGTTTCAGTTTCTAACTCAGACTTTCAGTGCAGAGATGATGGGTTAGATCCCAGCCTGAGGCCTTTCTGTACTAAAAAATGTTAACGATTCGGTCGCTGTTATCTAATTTTTCTTGGTGTTTCATTAACATTGAAATTGGAGAGACTTTACTAATAAAAATTGAAGTACTACTCAACAAAGCTCAATAGTTTCTTCTTTTTTTTCATTTTTGTGGTGTATTAACCATGAACTATGGAGGACCAACTCTGCCATATTTAAAAATAAAGGTTGTTCCAGGTTGTTCAGCCCATTTTGGCAAAGTTTAAAGAATTAATAAAGTTCTGCTAAAGTTACACGTGGATGAAAAGAGGAAAATGTCAATGTTTTCCTTAATTAGTTGGGACAGAAATCACTGGATTTCTCTTATTTATAGTTATTCTATCAGCAGAACATCCGACACTTGCTCATTATGGAGGACCAACTCTGCCATATTTAAAAATAAATACAGAAATAAATAAATGCTCAATAAATATATAAGCATACAATTAATTGCCAACAAAATACAATAAACAAATAAATGTAAGTATAAATTAAATTATAAAGTGAGACATAAATGTATATAACTCTTAATTAGCTTCTTTATTTATTTGCCTTTGTAATATTTACCTTATTTCTTTTTGTCCTCTATAAGCTTCAATTTTATTTTTTAATTACTTATATTTTTAAGTATTTATTTATGTGCATGATATAATTGACATTTTCTCCTGTTCATCCTCCTGCAACTTTAGCAGAACTTTATTAATTCTTTAAACTTTGCCAAACTGGGCTGAAGAACCTAGAAGAGCTTAATAAGAGGAACCTGTAGGATCAAGATTAACCACCACTGTTCAAACACAGTGAGGATTACATGGAAACAAAAACGACCAAATGACTTATTCTAGTTTTTCTCCATCACTTCTAGAGTTTTTCACAATAAAATAATTGTAGTGCCTAACCAGGCTGTGCTCCTAAATCCCAGCTGATGGACTATATGCTGCCAGTACCGTTCCCAGGTACTTTGAGATGATAGAAGGGAAAACATGGCGTCTGATGCTGCGCCATCTGGATGTTTGGATCAGAACATATGGGCGGCCCGGCTCTGCGATCCAGAGGCATATGGTTCTTTGAGATAGAGTGGAGGCAGACCGGGCTGTTTGTTGGGTAGCATCGAGGGCCTCAGTATTGTTAGAAGTGCTGCCAGACAAACTTCACACACACACACACACACACACTGCTCCGCTGCTGGCTTCAGAGCGGCGTGGGCGACGCTAATTCTGGTTTCTGCAGAAGAGTGGAGCACCGTCCTCCATGTCTCCATCAGGGAATAAACATACCTGCTAAATGTGCTCCTTCTCCTCAGACATTCGCCTCGCTGCCGCTTTCTGTCCACGTTCTTTTAGAAATTGATTTTTTTCTTTATCTTCTCTTTTAAAAACATTCCCCTTCTTGTTGAGCTCCTGTTATCATCATAGGAGGAAGCACAGAGGCTGTCTTCTGGTTTCAAATGAAAAAGCCTTCAGTGTGGCGTGTTTCCTGATGAAAGGCTGTTCAAACCCGGCAGAGCTCCAGCTTTTATTCCGCACCGTAATTCGCTTTCTCTTTTGAAAGATAATACACAATTTCTGGCAGTTTGTTTGATTTAATTATGAGAAATAATTATGTTTTACACCGAGCATAAGCTTGGCTTTGGCGTGTTACAAAGGCGTTACTGTAGCTGAGGAAGCCGACTTCATTACGTGGAACAGAATTTCTATTATGGTTCCAGTAGACCTAAAATACTCAGACGGTACCTCATTAACTCATGTTGCTGTTTGTTGATTAAAGAAGAAGAAAATAGCTCAATCTTCCATATAGTTCTGTAGATATTTTATTAACATTAAGCCTGATTATATCCAGTGTCATTCCTCTCAGCAATTCTGTTAAAGCTCATTAGAACGTTAATAAAGTCTTTTCACTTTCAAACACAAACTAAATGAGATTTTAGATGAACACAAAGTATGACATGATTGTGAAATAGAAGGGAGAAAAAAATATATTTTTTAACTTTTATGTACAAGTTAAGATCAGAGAAGCGTGTTGGGGATCCGGAGCCACATTCTTCTTCTTTGATGACAGCTGACTGGGTTTGTAGATTTCATCATCACCGCTGGTATCCCTTTCAGACTGGCCGAAAAATCCGGTTTAAACCCGGGAACAATGGGCTTTTAGTGGCAGTGGGAACGGCTCATTGATGCGGGTCAAACGACTCGGCAAAAGACCCACGTTAAATCCCCTCGGCTCTGATTGGCATGCTGTCAGAACACCAGAGCCGGGTTTAAACGCTAAATTACGCGACACCATTGAACGCAACTTAAAGATGTCAACACACAGCGCCAGTCGCTTCTGATCTAACCAGCAGAACCAACTCTGCTTCCATTGGATAAACATGGAGCAGCTCTGGTGAGAGGGAGTCAGACAGATAAGAGAGAGAAACAATAAAATACGCCCTGGCTTCCTACCATGTTGCTCTCCATTGTTTACTTCCCTGATTTCTGTCACACTGGTAACATTATCAACGCTTACCCAATGTGATGTAACATGACACACATTTGTGGCGGGACAGAGGCCACGCAGCTGCCAGTGAGGGGTTAGACCAGCTTTTTTTGCCAATGGGAAGGGGGCAAAATGCCGATTGTTAGCGGGTCGACCCACGTTTGAAAAACATGCATTAACCCGCTAGTTTCAGTGGGGCTTAAGACAACTGAAACTCTGTCAGTTTGTATGAAAGTTTCAGTTTTTATAGCCTTAGTACAAGTTCTCTTTAAGGCCCCGTCCACACGAAGTCAAACCCTGGCCTAAATTCACAAATTTTTCACCAAACCAGCCTCTCATCCATACGAAGCCGGCGTTTCGGGGGTCTGTAAACGATCTTTTTTTTATTCAGCCTTCAGAGTGGGAAGATTTTGAAACGCCGTTTTCGCGTTTCCATCTTTAAGCTCTAACCGCATTTTTTTTCCTACATGCATGCGTCATAGCGTCGCCTCTAAACACGCATGCGCGACACAGTATCACAACAACAATGGCGCCGTACTGTGTTGAATGGTTGCTGCTCATGCTACTCACCCTGCTGTCGGGCTTACAACAGAATCTTCTTCTTCTGGAATATCTCCAGGAAGAACAGAGCAATATCGACCACATAGTTCAGCACCTGAATTTGACTGAACCACCAAAATGGACCCGCAGGGCAACCATGTATAAATATTAGTGCGCATGCCCAACATTTCGTCGCCTATTTTTGCTTTGGCACCACAGCGCCACTTACAGGCCTGGCATACATTTTGCAGCGTTTTCATGCATTCATGTGGACGATCACATTTATTTTACGTCTCCGTCTTTACGACAAACGTTCTGGAAAATATTAGAGTTTCGTGTTCGTTTTGACTTCGTGTGGACGGGGCCTAAGTCTGGACTTTGACTAGGCCGCCAGTTATGGCTCTTTCTGTCAGTTTAGGGTGGCGGTCGTGCTGGTGAAGATTCTCCATCATTAAGGTCATAGTCATTCAAAAAAAAGTTAAACTATCCATTGGACTTTGTTACCAAGTTTGAAACGAAGTCCAGTGGATTCTTCTTCCTCTGAGGCCTTTTAGATGAAGACAGATGATGGCTGCTGGTCACCACTGCAAACTGCATCTGCTCTTCTCCAGACCAATCAGTGATTGATTTAAAGCTGGTATCATAAAGCTGTTGATGATGCGAGTAGACTGCAGATAATCAGTGAGCTTGTATTTTGGTGTTTGGTTCTCTTTGTGCTTTTTTAAGCTGTAAATGTTGTTTTAAACCAGAGAGTATAAGAACTTGAAATCATTTGGAGGTTATCAGAAGTGGATAAACTATGATCTTTAACCTCTTAAAACCCACCGGGTCGTCGGCCTTAAGTGGAGGTAATAATTCAGAATGCATAAAATTCCAGCGGTAAAATGTTTACCAGCAGGTGGAGCCGTTGTTCGCAGCTCCAAGCTGACACCAAAACTTCCAAACCCCCACAGCTCTGGAACTGTTATAGCTACAGGTCTGAAATTTCCTGCATTTGTGATTTAAATAATGTAGAACAATTATAATACAATAAAACCTGCTTTTTCTCATGAACGTCTTTATTACTGCTGTTCAAAAAAGACCTATCATTTCAGAGAATAAAAAAAAAAACAACTTTGAGTCATGTTTGAACTGATGCAGCTTCGTCTGTGTTCCTGTCACCCAATTTTATTATATTTTATATATTCAGAAACTAGAGGGTGTTAGCTTTCAAATAATGTATCACACATTTAATTTGGGCTTACAGTTCCTAAGTTATTGGCTTTTCCATTTGGTTATGCAAAATAAGCGAGAATTAGCCAAAATGAGGTGGATGTTGAGAGGTTAAATCTCCTCAGGCAAACTGGAAGGCGTCCTCTTTGGGCCGATCGCTAACAAACACTTCAACCTGTAAACCGCCTCGGGCCGCTCAGCTCGTCCTCCATGTTCGGCTATCACATGATTCCTAACAATGATGTTTCTTTCAGGTGACTGAGGAGTTTGATGTCATCAGAGGACGTTCACTTTAATTAGGTAAGAATGATTTTCTCTTGAAATCCTTTCTCTGCATGAAAGAAATCTTCTTTCTTTAATAATTCCGACCTTTGCCGACCTCCCTCTCTCCCTCATTGCTAACCTGGGCGTGTTGCCCTTCTGACAAACAACAGAGCAGCTTTTTTCCAGCTGCATGTTTGTGTTTTTTTCTTAAATGATGCAGGTTCACAGGTTAATTTCAGGCTCCAGGCTGTTCTGAAGCCATTCTTGCTTAAACCTCTGATGGCAACAAATGTGAAGCATTTAGGCAAACGGCTCGCCGTTCTTTCTGAAAAAGCTCTGGTCTTTACCTCCTAAAAGGTTCACGCCTCCTTCAATATTTCTACATATTTCCATCTGTGTATATTTCTACATGTTTGGACATTTAAAAACATTTAAACAGATAATATTTTATTCTGGCATGTTTTAGTCGTCCCTCTGTTTCTGCTGTTTTAGCCTCTTTTTAAGCTTTATTTCAGGGTCTCTAAGTCCAGCAGGAAGTTGAGTTCATGCCTGAGTTTAAATTTTAGATCAGTGAAGTCATTTATCAGCACCTCCAGCTCAGATAAGAGCCTCGAGGCGTTCAGAAGCCTTTGCTGGACCAAAATGAAACCTCCCAGTGTGACCAGCTGATTTAAATGGTCGTCACATCTCAATGTGGGGTTTTTCTATGATCCGCCTCTGCCGCTCGCGGTCTGCCAGCTCCTATTAAAGCGTGTCGTCTCTGTGGGAACCCTTTCCTCCCTCCATCCTCTGTTTCCATGTGTTGGACCCATGGCTACCACAACGCTTTGTCACTAAACGCATTAGTTCTGGTTCAGATACATCACAGTTTCTAACAGGTCTTAAAAAAAAGTTCAGTATTTAATTTAGATTTCAGGCCATCAAAAAGTCTGATATAAAGACATTTAGTTCCATCTTTAAATAAAGACTTCATGATCAGAGACTAAAACCTGCCGGTTTAACCTTGAATGGCTCCCATCTGGGCGGTTTATGGTTGTTCGTCTCATCTAATGACTCCGCCCACATTGAAATCCGCTTCAGTTGAGCCAACCTGACCTTAACTAGTTGTTTTCCTGCTTTAAACCTTGTGTTTAGGCCGGGAGCAAGCAGGGATTTTTTTTGGAAGCTAACTGTTAGCTTTAGGATCAGGTCCAGTTGGAACATCCACATTTAAACCATCTAGATGTTTGCTTCCATCTGGAGGCAGTGATCCTTCATGACTCCATCTACTCTTTCTAATGCACCAGTTGCCCCTCAGCATGATGCTGCTACTGCTGTGCTCAGCAGGTCTAGAAGCACAAGATCTATATCCTGCTACATGGCTGTACATCTTATTTTGGCATTTGACCAATTAGATGAGCCCTTAATGATATATTACCTACTGGAAATTAAGTTAACAAGTCAAGAAAAAAGGTAAAAAGCTAATTGAAAAGTTAAAAAGTAAAGTAAAAAATTGAATAAGCCTAGTAACAATTATTTAGGTTTATAAACTAACAAAATATCAGTGCCAGTATCAATGCCTCTAAGGTTATGTTTGATAAAAAAAAATATGTTTCTTTTCACTCATTTCTTATAGAAGCACTTTTGTTATTTTTCTTAATATATTCGGAGAAGTTGGCGTTTCTTGTTATTACGTTGACATTAAGTTTTGCCATCAAAATATCCATATTTTTTGAAGGTTACAAAGGTAATAAGGTTTCGTCCTGGATTCCAATAACATTATTGGCTTTAAATGTTGATTTTCAAACTGAGTTCCCTATAAAGGGTTAAAGCCTTGGCATCTCCAAGCATAGCTCTTGTTGAATGGTTCAAAATGGTTCAAACTTTTCTCTAGAAAATGTGTCCATTTAAATCTGGAGCAGAACTTTCTTCCTTGGTTTGTTCCATCTGGGTTTTTGGCAGCGACTGATGTCACTTTGCTCCCTGGTGCTCCAGTAGTTAAGCTTTACGGCAGGATTAGGATTTGGTTGGTCTCTCCTGCAGTTAATCTCAAAGACATCATTTATTTGTACAATTTTGACCCTTAGATTTACGCCTCGTATCCTGGACTTCCTTTAGTTCAGTAGAAGTTTTAATCGAGTCATCTTTGTTCAGCTGGCCTCCATCAGTCCCTGGGATCTGCTGCTGGGTTTCTGCTTTGCATGTGTGCGTCCAGGCGACTGTTGTGTTTGGGCTGAATCCCAGAGTTTTATCGCTCTGTGAAATGCGAAGCCTTGGAGTTGGACCGGAGTCTGCAAACATCACCACAGATCTGCCAGAACTCGGCGGGTGTCCATCTTCTTCGCTGCTCGTTAATTCAGGTCGTTAATGATGAAAAAGGAGATGAAGATTGAGGCTGGGTGGAGGGAGGGTGGCGTTAGAGAGCTGGAATAAAAAGTCAGGATGGTTTAGAAAGAGCAGAAAGGCCAGAGACTGTGAGGGCGAAGGCGTGACAGACTTGGAAGGTGAAGTTGATGACTTGGAGCAGTTTTATCAGCTGCCAACTGCTGCTGGGTTCTCTGTGTGTGCGCCTGTGGTATGATTGAATAGTTTCAGGGTCGTCGTCAGTGTTTTACTGTTTTCACTGTGGATGGATGAATGCTCGTGTGCTTTTCTCCAATTTCTTTTCTGCGTTTGCCAGCAGCTTTGGACCCTTTGGTTCAGACACTCCTCGTTGCTTTAGGTCCAGACCAGAGGGGAAGAGGGAGGCCAGCCATCTGTTTTCTATCAGTGCTGCTGCTAAATCTTAGTGTTTTTCTTTCTGTTTTAGTGCTGAGCAGAATACAAAGCTGCTGCTTTAAGGATTTGTCCCTTTATCCTTGTTTTTTCAGGGTTCCTTCTTCTTTAAGGCTCTGTTTAGTTTGCATTTGCTTCCAGGCTTGATTCTAAAGGATATCTTATGTTTCTGCAGAGTTTGCTCCAGCTTACATAGAAGGTTTGATGAATTTCACTGGGATTTTACCTCAGATGTTTGGATGCAAACAGAAGATGGTGGATGGTTTTCAACGCTTATTTCTAATAATAACCTGAAAATAATGGCATTCAGAAGATAATCTGGACTTTGACTAGGCCATTATGTGCTTTAGACCATTGTTGAAGCATTACCTTGTGGTTTACATAAAATCCCAATAATTCTTTTCTAACTTTTTGATTTCAAACCAAAACTAAATATTAAAGTCGTAGGGAAGTCATATTTAAATGTCAAATCATTCTGGCTTAAACATGTATATAAATGTTCTCTTTATCAGAAGATATTGTCCCAAAAGTTAGAAAGTTTCTACTTAAAAAAAAAAATCCAGTCTTAAAATCTTTTTTTTTTCCGTTATCTTCTGCAGGCCAGTTAGTTCTACGTCAGCCTGAACACCTAAATTCGGCCAATCATATATCAACGGTCATCTGTCAATCACATGTTTTCGGTCATAGCATCTTGATTCATGTGTCGCAGCTAATATACGCAGCGGTTGAAACCAGAATCCTTTCCTTTCCCATTGAGTTGCGTCCCAGTGTTCACGGGGATGGACGTCTGTGTCTTCGGCAGGCGTAGAGCTAACAGAACTGGCAGCGTTGCGAGGCAAGGGCTCAAACATGTACGGCTGGAAGCCTTCTACACCAAACCAAACTTCTGCCGCCCTGGCGTCCTCTTCCACAACATCTTCGTCCCCGCTTTCCTCCTCTAAATAAAAAATGGATGACGGAGGAGACTCATCCACGACCTCCGACACTAAACTCTCCTCCTCTTGCATGTTTCCGCTGTCCATAGCGTTCCTTGACAGCGTCGTTTCTAAGTCACCAATTTAGTGCTACTTGGTCCCAATGGAATTTCCCATTGGGAACCTGCTAGCACTAAGATGCTAACTGGTTAGCAAGATGCTTCCCACAAACCGGCCACAACCAAAGTTGCAGCTTCCCTACAACTTTAGAAATATTAAATGTTAGTAAAGCGCTGGGCATCCAGAAAATGCAGGCTGCGGCTCTTTGGTAGCACTCAAAGTTCGGAAATCTTTGTTGCTAATATAAATGTCGATCCCACTGATCTGCGGTTAACATGGCAGGACGTCGGCTTCATCTGTTTTCAGACTGGGACGATATGGAAAGCTCCAGGTTTGGCCCGCAACGAAATGTCACCACCATAAATCATTTAAAACATTTTTCTGCTTTAAAGTGTTTTTAATGCTGTAAAATGCATCAATAAAATAAAGTCATTTTATTAAGGAGAAAACGTTTGCAACCCTCAACCTAAGACTCATTTATACAGAAAATCAAGCTAAAGCTTTGGGCTCTAAGATTTGACAAATTATTTTAGTAGGTGGGTAAGTAATACTTTATACTGTTGCTGTGGAAAAAAGAAAATCTTTGCTTTTGTACTTTTAACTCTTGTGACTTTTAATGATTGCAGATTGGTCAATCATTGAGAAAACTCTCCAGAAAAAGCTGCTTGTAGAAAATGAAGCATATTAGGGGTGTCATTTATACCATTTTGTGCAAAGTTTATAGGTTAAAAAGTGTCGAAAAGCAGTTTTTCCTCTTTTTTCCCCTCAGAGATGTTTACTGTTTATCATGATGTCCTTCATTCCTGTTAAGGTCGTCTCTGAGCTGCTGGGTTTCATCAATCAGCCAGCTGTCCTCCATAATGAGCAACTAAATAGCCGCTAATAGCTGTATTAATAATAATCGGGGCTTCTGTGTGATTTTCTTTTTTTTTTTAGCTGCAGGAAAAATCACAAACACCCAGCAGCTGTGTCCTTCCTGTCTGGCTCCTTTTCCTCCTATCCCTGTCAAGCGTCGGCCCCTGCTCGGCCTGCGTGCCCCCAGGGGCCTCGCTTTCTTCTTGGACGGAGCTGAATGCGGTTATTGTCGGCTTATTCGGTCTGGAGCAGCTTTTATGTTGTTTCCCGGCAGGAGTCGGCTGTGTCAAACCTTTGATTGCTTTTTTTTTTCCCCCACTCTTGAAAAATGGTTGAGTCAGGGATACCTGCAGCTCGTCGCTGTTATACACCAGCTTTGAAATGCTGCAGACC